CCCAAAGCCCCAGTAGATAGTTGTATGTCATAGTTGCACATCCTTCTAGTTGCTGTATGTGGGACGCGGCCTCAGTATGGCCGGAGAAGCGGTACATCGGTGCACGCCCAGGATCCGAACCCAGGCCGCCAGCAGCGGAGCGCGCGTACTTAACCACTAAGTCACCGGGCCGGCCCAGACCTGCCCTTCTAATGCGTATGATAAAATGAATTCTCTCCCAGGTACAACTAGTTATTTTTTTGAGATTGCTTAGGAGCAAGGTTTGAAAATCACAGCTGTTGTACAAAATGTTTCACCATACAGCTGATCTTTTGCCTTATTATAGTCAGAGAATTGTGCAAGATATCATTTTATGCATGATGGGAATGTGAAAGAACTCAGGTTTTTGAGTCAGAATTGGGTTCAACTGCTTGCACTGTGACATTGGGAAATGAATCTACTTCCCGGGGACTTAGTCTTCTCAGTTTCAGCATCTATACAATAATAACCATGTTGATGATGATGCCTCCCTTCTAGGATTGTTCAATATGATGTACACTCGATGGTACTGGTTATGTAGCACATGCTCAGTAAGTGTTATTTCTCATTCCTTTTTTCCTGCTCAAATCTCCTTACAATTAGGCAACTTGAATTTAGAGTGATCCTTAGGCTTTTTTGGTTGAGGACTTCCTTGAGACATTTGACATATTCTTTGAGGGTGATTTTTCCATAATCCTTCAGCCATTCTTCTGCTTCTGTGCTCTATATCAGAGTAGTCTAAACCAGGCTTTCCCGAAGCTCATTCCACCGAACAGTGAGCCTCTGAAATGCTCCTTGATAAAAAGATTTCGTGGTCAAATAAGTTTGAGAAATATCTGGTTCTCCTGTTAGAGCTTTACCATGTAGAGAAGAACTATGAGAGAGAGAATTGTATAGCTTGTTTCCTACATAATTCTTTTTTTCCCCCCAAGTAATCCATTTTTTGAAATACTGTTCTACGTTGATACATGTAGTCTTATCATCTCAATGTATAATCCACTTCC